CAGGGACTCTCTATCATCCTGCAATTTAATGTCAATTATCGTGTCAACATTATAAAATATTATGCTAAAAAATGTGGTAACAACAATTCTATAACAAGTTGTACTTCTGAAAAAGTTCTTTTTAGCATTTCTCAAGAAATAATGAACCTCACAATTTTAGGTCACTTATCCTTGCAAATGGAAAAATAAAGGGGTATGCTATCCACATACATTTTTTACTTCTCCCACACCTCTCGTTAATTTCTGTCATTTGATCTTCTTCAATTCATCTGATCCGACAGCCGAAAATTAAAAAAATGTGAGAGAAGTAAAAAATGGTACGTGAATATCACATCCAAAAACAAATTAGGTCAAGTTTTTTAATGGTAGCAACATCGGAATCCGAGACAAAAGGACATGGCAATGAACAATGGACCCCAAAAATCATCTTTGTGGAATCCCACTTTATCTTTTTGACAATCAAAAGTAGAAGATGTTGGCAACACGAATACTATTTGCTCCACTCATAAAAAAAAAGGTAATAGCAATTTTTATAGTGTACGAAAATCATTTCTCAACACTAATTTCGCTGCACGGAAGCAAATTGGTCGAAAATGAAACAAAAATCATGCTATTATTTGCCAACTCTCATAGCAAATCTAAGTGCATGAATATATAAACTCGAGTAAATACATATCTTAAAAGGACAAAAGTGTCCATATACTCAAATGGTTTCTGTAAAATTTACTCCTTCGAGAGGACGGAAACTATGAGCGATGGTCATCAAAACCGTCGTCGAAGTTCAGAGAGTAGCTCTGAAGATCATAGCTGAACCGGTTGTAGCACTTTTTCCGTCCCAAACCTTGTTTCAATTGTGACTTCAACTTCCAAAACAACTGCCTCAAAAGATATGAACCGCGGCAACAACCCATCAACGATGTGCTTCTTTGAGTGCCAACAAGCTTGACCTCAGACCCGGCGCTTGCGATTCTCTTCAATGACTTCGAACACTGGATTTTCCAACAGCCAGAGATGCTAGAAACTGATTTGTGGTTCCCCCTCCAGCTTTGGCTGTGCTGTTTTATAGAGAGAGATCGTATGGGTGAAAGCAAAAGGCAGCAGCAAGAATGGTGTAACTAGAAAACAGGCAGAGCCACAGATTAAGCTTTCAAGTAACAATTCCACTAGCAGGCATCATCATCGACATGTCACATTGTCATTGGTCGACGCGGATAAACTTTCAAGGAACAACTTCCACTAGCAGGCATCACCAACGACGTGTCACATTGTCATTGGTCGACGCAGATAAACGTTACAATCAACAGTCAATTAAACTTTTCTTTGATACTATTCCAGGTCATATAGGTCCCAGATTTGAGAAGGAATTGATAACTTGCGTCAAGTGCTGTGTCAGTCGAAGGGAGAAAAGCACTTTTGAAAAACGTTGATTGTTCTTATCTGTTGTTTTTTTGCTTCTGTTTCAATCAAAGGAAGCTTGATGACGAACTTTCCTGGAAGCATATAAGTGGAATGAGGTCGACTCTTGTGCCTAAAGTTTTACACCGACCATACCTACAAGAACAATGTAAACTGATTAATCAATTTCTTTGAACTTCATACGTCGTTTTCATCACATGGTTGATCATAAAAGGCCCCACAAAGATCACCCAAAATTGTGTCGGGTAGATCTTCGATACCAATACGTTTAAGAAAAAAATAATTAAGCACAACTGTGATTACGAAGCATATATCTGAACAAAATATACCTACACTGTTTGGGATAAAATCTGAACTTTGGGCCAGAGAGAAAGTCGGCCCAAACCCAAGGCCCAGAGGAAAACTTAGGAGGCAGGAAAGAGGCTTTCGGCTGGGCACAAGTTACAAAGGCCACCTGCTTACCTGCTCAAAGACCACAGGAGGTAGGTTATTCAGTCACTACACAGCCCAATAAAGTACTTTATTGGTGGCATTCATGTAAAAAAGCTAGTGAGTCATCACCAAACCGCATTCGGGCACCGCTATTTGCTACAGGAACCCAAGCTGAAGTCGTCTATAAAAGGAGGAAGAGAAGACAGAATTAAGGACACTCAAACAAACAAACAAAAGCCAAAACTCTGCTCAAGCCAGATTTGCCTTCAACGAAGCTGTAGTCAGCACAAGCCTTCATCCCATTCGGGATAAACCTTCCCAAACCCCTGTAATAGCTCTGCTACCTTGTTCATGGTGGTATCGATTCATTTTGTATCCTCTTCTCCCCCGTCAACCCCTCTAAAAGCTTTCAGACCTCTGACAGAGCCACAAAGATAGATTTTGTAAGAAGTTCAGCCTTGGCCGATAAGGTTCAAACTTACCCGACTATCTTTGCTCTGTCTTTGTCTTTTCTTTCTTTTAAAAGCACAATAACATGTTATATATTCCCAGTTATGTACAAGTTATTTCTAGCAAAGTCATAATGAAAATAAGTCTTCAGCACTTGGATCCGATCTGAATCGCGTCAGAGTTCAAATCAGATCTAAGTCTTAAGCCCGGCGGGCATGTAATTTAAAGATCAGTTTAAAAGTCCTTGGCCTCAAGGCATAAAAAAGAACTCTATGTGGACTCAACCCATCCACGACAATCCTTGATAAGCGAGAAGTCCGAAGTTACTTGGGGCGCAAGTAATCAATCTATTTCTCCGTTTTGTTGCTATTATATCTTGATTCGTAGAAAAGGCTTAAGCATGGAGTGAATTCTGATAGAAAGCCTCAAGGCCTATACCTAAGGCCCCACGAAGGCATCTATTTAGCTTCATTTCATGTTGTGGTCTAGTTGGTCCGAGTATAAGGATTAACTCTGATGGGAAGCCTCAAGGCCTATACCTAAGGCCCTACAAAGGCACTCATTTGGGTTCGTCCTACCTCTTGGATTCAGATAATCAAAAGTATAATAGTGATAAGACTCTGGCAACCATAAAAGACCAAATATGATACATCCAAGCGCTGGTTTAGTTTGACAGGAAGCCTCAAGGCCTATACCTAAGGCCTCACAAAGGCACCTGTTATATCTAACTTGGTTTCTCGGGCGTATACATATTCAATCAAAGCTTAACACCCATTCAACATCTGCCATACTGAAGATGGCAGTGGCACGCCTGAGCACGACAAAGTTAATCTTGATTGTGAGCCTTAAGGCCTACATCTAAGGCCCCACAAAGGCACCCTTTCAAATTAACTTTGTCCTTCTCTTTCAGAACTGTCCGACGAGCCTTGCCCGAAGTGTGTCTTGCCCGACCAAGATCTGCCCGACAAAGGCTTGCCCGAGCGAGCCCGAGAAGAAAGCAGAAGTACGACAGATACCCTCAACCGACGCCATTCTCCCAGGGGAGCTGTGTGCTCGTCCGCCAGGAGATTCCTGCGACGAACATACACTAATGCATTTTCAGACTTTCTTTTGTTCCAACTTCAACCGATTTATAAGATTTCGATTTACATATATTTAGTTCCATGAAATCTAAGCCTACTTCGACTTAATTTGTCTAACACTTCATATAAAGAGCAATAAGTGGCTAACGAAGTAGCAGTTATTCAGATTTGCATGGAGGATAAATATTCTTACAGATGACTTACCAAATGTTTCAGAACAGTTCAAGCTCCATCGGCGACTTCAGGCTACATGAGAGCCGTATATATGAAAAATGTAAAGGCACCCAATTCTCTCGGCAAGTTCACCTGGAATTAAGTTACGAGTTAATTCTAAAACTTCCTTGTAAGCATTAAATTTTAACAGAAAAGGGGAGGGGAGTGCAGTCATTGTGCTCCTTCTTATCATTAGCGCAGTCGCAGCATCTGCAGAACAAAATGTATGTGAATTTCTGACTGTAACAGAATTATTTTCTCGGGAAAATTAGACGTCTTGGCAAATATTATCACTAGGAAGAGGAGTTAAAATCGAAAACCTCATTTTCGAAAAATCTCCTCGAAATTGAATCTGAATTTCGTTCAAGCAAAGTCTGAACAAGGGTGACCTGCAGTACAAGTATTGCGTGCTGCAACTGAAAGACATACACTTGAAACAAGCGTTAAAAACTCCATAAAACTAAACCAGTTTACGATGTCATGTGAGATTCATATCATCACATGTAAGTATTAAATACTGTACCCTTGTACACGTAAGTGCTTCCTCTTTAGATTTAAGATTTGTGTAGATTGAGAAGTGGAATAGCATAATCTACCCCAATGTCAACAATGGAGTTTATAGGTAATTAGTTACTAATTAATCCTCTAATTCTTTGTTGTTTCCACAATACAATATTATAAACTCCTCTAACCTCTAATCTAACGAATTCACTTAATTCAAGTCTGCATTTAATTTCAACCATGAGTAGGGGAATATGCACGAATTGAACCGGTCATAAGAGGTTTAGTGTGGTTAAGTTTTATTTTTTATTAGAAATTTGAAGCTAGATTTATTTGTGATTGCATCCTTTTTCGTTAAGCAATAATTCCAATTTTGATCCTATATTTTCTGCCCATTTTGCAGATGTGGGTTTGCTCAGTCTCAAAAAGCATACGATACAGCGGTGAACGAGTTGTTCGACACACTGGACACGATCGAAGATCATTTAAGCTGTTGGAGATACTTGTGTGGAGATGAACTCACACATGCAGATGTTTGCTTGTTCACCACGTTAACCCGATTCGATCTCGTCTACAATGTGTTGTTCAGATGCACGAAGAAGAAGCTGCTCGAGTATCCCAACCTTCATGCTACTGAAGAGAGATTGGTGTTTTTCTACAGATTCCGGAGGTTGCGGAAACTTGCAATTTTACAGCTATTATGGAAGGGTACTACAAAACCATTTGTCCGCTAAATCCCGGCAGCATTCAACCCGTCATGCCTGCTGGGTCCGAGCATGAAGTCCTCCTGAGACCTCAAAACAGGGATTCGCTGACAGAAGTGCGACGGCGCTTTATGTTTCTTAAGCTATACAAGTCAGTTCAGATGTGTATTTTGTATTCACGCAAAGCAAAGCAAAGCAAAACAGAACCAAGAAAAACGCATTATATAGCATCGCCGTATCAGCGGCCATATAGAACTTCAGTTATTTAAGCAGTACCACTAGCCTCTGCAAACACAGCACGCAGGTAGCGTCTGACCCAAAATGTACCATCAAATCATCAATGGAATAAGGCACCAAATTGGCCATATCTGTATAAAACCCTGTACAAAAAACATCCAAAAGATCTATCCTTGGCTTGATTTTGCACCTATCCTTTGTGTTCGACCAAAGACAACATCCATCAACACGCTGATCCCTGACACAAAGTACTTAACGAGCATTCCCGGTGTTCACCTTGCAATTGATCCAGATCTAGATCCTGTTGCATGTAGAAGTGAAAATGAAGGTTAGTATCAGAAGCAACATGTGATTACAAGAACAATCAAAGAGTACCCCAATGACTAATAAACCAGATGAAGCTTTCAACTCGGACTAATACATATCAAACATGTACACAGATAAGCCAGGCAAGAAAATGATCGTCACCAACAAACAAGGGATGGTGCAAATATTGGTGCAAGGGACACAAATGGAAAATACACTTACTATTTGAACGTTTCATGTTCCTGCAGAATTTGCTGCCACATTGGCACTGGAACACCTTCACAGGATGATCATGGTCGTCGAAGTCAATGCCATAATCCTGCAAAAACATCCCGAATAATGCAGTTAAGAGGGGCACATAAATCCAAAGAGTCATGTATACATACTATATCTATATCCAGGGCCCTGTCACCAAAATTATACAATAACATCACATAATGCAGTCTAAGTAGGAAATTGATCTGCATGAATTAAGGTATCATTTTGTGCTTGAACATTTTTAAAGGATGAAGTTAAGTGTTGTGTTCGGGATAAGCACAAGTCAGCATACCATATTCAGATATATCTATCTGTTGTGTGGTAGGTTCGAAGTAGGTACTCGTGCATCAGGCATGTTTAACTAAATCATATCAATCAACCGTTCCCGTTTATGCATTTTTTAATTTAATGAGAATGAGGCCTTTGACAGTCAATTGATAAACAGTTCTGCCGAAAGTCAATTAACCGTACAACTTCTAAGAACTAGAGCAGTCAATTGAACTAAAAAGTAGTAATGAAGATCACTTATAGATATAGCATTGTACGTACATATTCCCATAACCAATCGAGCACCATCACCAAAATTAGTTATGAAACTAAAATCAGAAAAATACTTGTACAACTCATCAATTTGGTGAAATTAAAATGAAAACATTTGATTAAAATGGAATTACAGTGGGCTTACGTTGACAAAAGAATGATTCATAAAGATAAAATTTCTTACCCAGGTTAGCTCTTCCAAGGCATCTACTTTTCTTGTTGTGAAAAAGGCAAGCTGCACAAGACGACATAACAATATTTATACTTGGTACCTTGAAGAATAATGTCTGCAATCATCAACAAAGTAGATGGCTATAACTACATAAATTAAGGATCAAAGGTTCCATACATGATAGTAGCAATGATCTGGGGTCTCCACTTCAACTGGGATTTCAACCAAGTTTGCATCCAGACATCTAGCATAATATGCAAAACAGACACCACAGTAGTAAATATCTTGGTAAAAGAAGCATAACGTATCATATGAATGGAAGACATGACTAAACTGAGAGTACAGGCAAAGCAATGAAGTGCCATTACCTGTGATTAATAAACCTAGCAACATTTCCGTAGTTTGTAGCATCCAAACAGAGAGCTTCTTTATCCCTCAAATCTGCTTTGGAAGCCCAATTTGCATCCAGTCGCACAGGATAGGGACGTTTGCCACTTCTGGAGCTTTTAATGTTCCTCTCATGTAACTCTTTGCTGGTTAAAACTTCTCCAACATACTCACACACAAAGGCACCTTTTGGCAGGTCCTCCAAGGTTCGGAGACCCCATCCTTTTCCTTCAGAAGTGAAAAACACCTGGAATACAGCACAAATCAAACAAAGTGTTCCGACAAAAAGTATTATACAAGAAAATTTTGTATTGACATTTATCTTTGAGAATATAATTACTAATACTCATGAACAATTTATCCACAAGATTTACATCAGTAAGAAAACAAGTACCCCACTCCATCAACTAACGTTAAACAGAAAGATCGCTTTGAACAGATTCCAACCTGCAATTTGCAATTTAAGCCTCTCTGGACCGCTCGATTTCCACACTGTCTATGGCAGCCACACTTGCTCCAGCATTCTTTAATAAATTGCCTCCTTAAGTGGCCCTTGCATGGTTCTAAACAATCATCATTCTTAACTCTTTCAAGTGGGCAGCTTTTACAATAGAAAGGACGGTGCTGTTGAGGGTTGCGAATCATAGAGATACACTCTTCCAGGAAATCATCCTTTAGAAGGCCTTCTCGCGTGTAAGCAAAATCCCCCTCAGTCTGAGATGCACAAGCACAAGGTACAGACGCCGATAGGCAATCACCAAAGCAAGTTGGGCAGCAATTTGCATCCCCAATACCAGAAAGACGGAGGTTAATAGCAGCATCTTGGAAAACAAGGCTTCGGGAGATATAGAAGAAGGATGGTGGATATTCATTGTTTTTTTCATTTACCCATGGTATTTTGACTCTTTCTTCCCCTTTGGTTATGTCATCAATGTCATGATAACTCCTTAAATCATCAGGAGGTAGATCACAATGTTGTACAACAACCAGGCCACGAGAGGCTTCCAGTTCACCTTCCTTATCAACATCAGCAAAACCATTAGAATCAGCCCTCTCACCTGCTTGTCTGCATTCAGCAACACCATTCAGAGACAGGGGTAGTCTGGGAATTTCATGAGCAGTAACAGCAACGGGCCCATTCAAAGAACATGGCTGCATGCATAATGTTTCCTTAGTTCCATGCACAGAATCCCAAGCAGTAGTTTTTTTCAATGCATCAAGATTTGGTGATACACTTATAGATCCATCCTGCGATTCACCATTGGAATTAGTTCCCAGTTCCAAGAAGCTCTCACACATATGCCCCAACAGATTCTTTAGAGAAAAGTAGGGGTCAATGATTTTGTATGAATGCAGATATTTTTCCTCCGTCAAATTTATGACAGCATCTAGATTAGGCATATGAAAATCTGGTCGTCTAATAGCTGAATTGCAATTGAATGAAAGCTTTACCTCTCCTAAGGGTGAAGACACAACTTCTAAATTAGAAGATTCCTCTTCTAAGGTTGCAAGTTCAAAGTTCGTATTCCTCTCATTAGATGAAGCTACAATATCACTTCTTGAACTTTCTCTCTCCTGGGATGCCACAGGTTCTTGATCATTTTGTTCCCCAGTTGCACCATTTTGGAGTGGAGGTTTTTCTTTACTTGAGGGATCTGCAAAAGAACAAAACAAAAAATTTTGTACAAGAAGATTATTGAAGTTTTATGCCGGTGTTATAATACCCAAAAAAGTTTGTTCCACTATGTATTATTTTTTATGTTAAATTGGCAGTCAGATATATTTATTTCATGGTTAGAGTAGTTTATTTTGGTTCCTGGTTCCAACTATCCATCAGATGAGATATCAATGATGGCATACTATAAGGCGAACAAAGTACCTGGAAGGATGACTGCTATAGGAACCTCATCTTGTGCCATGTCATCAGTGAAGGGCTCATCTTTAGGCTTCATTAATTGATGATTGTCAACCCTATGTTTCGGCAAAAGAACGATGCCTGACTCAATAATTCGCTTCCATGCTGTGGTACGGGATTAGACACAACAGGTTGCTTGCCCTTATTTTTGTTACTACGATGGGGTGAAACTGGTTGATGCAATTCAGCCCTTGAGTCAGGTGACCGTGTAAGTAACTCATCTTTCTCCACTTTTGGCCTTATCAATAAAGGCCCACCTAACATAGGGTTGCAGGTACTTGGGGATGGTGAAAGTTGACCCCCATGGGTTTTTCGCAACCTTTTCAGGGGACGTTCAGGTTGATGAGGCAGTGGCAATTCTTCCCCAATATTATCCTCCGGCTAGATAATAGACCACAAGGCAAGTTAGCAGATATAGGTAAACAGGTGAGAATGTGAGACACAAGCAAGGGAGCCAAGTGTACATACATCAGTATTTGTAGATTTCTTCTTCTGTGATGAACCCTCATCACCACTTGAATGTATCCTTTTCGAGGGACGAGCAGGTTCACGACGCAGCTGAGGCTCTTCTTCCATATCTTCCTCCTGATAGGTAACAGGCCATAATATGTCAGGATTGTAACCATAGATATGTCAGAAACTATAGCCACAAGGATGAGAAAAACAAGAAATAAAATCAAAATACCAGGTAACTTCAATTACATACATCATAGTTCTTGCTTTTCTTCTTCTCCTTCTTCTCTTCCACCCCCTAACAGAATAAATCAAAATCAAACGGACATAAGTAAGGAGAGAGAGAGAGAATGGAAGTGGAATACAGAATGCCTGACAAAAGGGAAAGAAATACACCTGAGTATCCTCCGCATCAAATATAGCATCTACAAGAACTCTATAATTCTCTTCTTCAATCAGTTCCCAGTTTTTGTCAAATAATCTCAAGAGATTTTTCAAAACTGGCTTGACCTGTTTTTCATTAATACCAAGCTCTGCCATTGCTTTAAAGGCTGCGTTCACCCTTGGATTTGGCGCCATCACTGTCTGCTCACACTTATTTCAATGAGCCGCCCAATGCAAAATGTACCTACATTTTCCAACATTTCTGAGAAAAATGCCCAAATAGGAGTTGAAAGAAATAGATATGCAAGTTCATTACACAATCAAAAGGCTACCACCATCAAACCCTTCACCCTTGTAACTAAAATACAATCGATGTAAGAGTATTAGAGGTTTCACCATATCACTCAACAGTCGGATGTTCCAATATCCTTAAAGCTACACAAACAACAGTTGTTAAAATCCTAACGAAAGATAACAGATTTAACTGATAGTTTCCTATTTGCATATATGCAAATTTCATTTTTACTTCCCAGCCTGCCCAGCATAAACGAAACAGCCCCTTTCGGATTTCAAAAATAATAGCATGTCTATACTAGAAAAGCATCAGAGCAACACGATATGAAACCGAATCATAAATACACATCAATCAGAAGTTCCAAACGACTAACATTAGTTCAGATATATTATATGAACACAGAAACCTCTCTCTCCTCTCTCCTCTATCCTTTATCCTCCTCTCTCTCACACACAGGGAAGAGAGAGAGAGAGAGAGAGAGAGCTCCCAAAAACAAAACTTGAACCAATAAAATCTACATGCATGCAAAAAAGAGCACTAACAAGAAGCTTACCAAGAAAACCTCTTTGGAGCTTGATTCAGGCTACCAAAACCTGAAAACAACCCAAAAACAAGAGTAAGAAACCACAAGATATTTTCTTTCACCTACATTTTCTCAGTAACCAAACAGAATTTCCAGAAATATATTCTCAAAACCAAAAACAAAAACAACCCCAAACCAATGTACCCAGAAATTCATGGAAATGAAAACCAAGAACCCAGAACTTGAAAACGTTTCCCAAACGCACTGTACAGAAGAGGAAAAACATTTCGAAAAACCCCAAAAACAAACGCAAAATTGGAAAACGGAGAGGTCCGAGGACCGAAATTGTTTTCGAAAAACAAAAATTTGAAATATGGGTAGCGAGCTTACCAGCATTTTTTGAAGAAATTGGGAGGAGTGAGAGAGTGAGAGTGTTTAGAATTAGGGTTTTACAAATTTGATCCGTTTTACCCCATATTTACTTGGGTTTGCTCTCAACGGATGTGTAACTGTAAGAACACTTGTCATGTCCTGAGGGCGAGTACACTAACGTCTGAGATATTTAATTGATAATTTATATAGTAACTTGGCTTTGGTAAAATTTCAAAACACAAGTCAGAAACTCTTTCTTAGATGGTTGATTCACGCATAATAAGAAGCTAGATGGTAACTATTAAGTTAAACTTGTAATTACTTGGTAACTAAATCAATATTTTATCCCTATTAGAAATAATATTTTTCCAAATGGGAGTTTTGTCGATGATTGCATTAGTGTGATTACAATTTCATTTGCATCTCATGATGAAGCACAAAAGAAGAACGTGTAAAGCCTTTTTTAAATGGCCACTAAATTTATGTGCTATATAGTCATTTTAATCTTTTAAGTTAACTATGATCCCCACTTTATAATGCAATTTTCCGCCTTCGTTACATTAAGAAATGCAATTAAAGGAAATATATGTCTGTCCGTTTTTTCTAATTGAAAATATGTTCATTTTATCAGCAAACCAAGGTTGTGTTATTGCTCTCTTTGCAGTCGAGTTTGAATTCCATTTTATTTAGATTGCAGTACTTTAGAAAATATCATCTTATTAATCACATTGTTCTAAAAAGTGACCTAGGCGCTAAGAGGAAGCCGGCATCTCGATTAAGGCTTAGGCGTTTAGAAAATCGGTGAAGCCTCTAAATGGCAATTAGGTGGTGTAGGCGAGCTCTAGGTAATTCAATTTTTTTATTTTTTACTTTTTTAGGTTAAGGGTTGGACAATAATTTTCTTATAAAATAACAATGGACTTTCTTTCTTGTAAAGTAACTCTAAATACACGTGTCATTTTATGTATTCAATATATTGTAGCTACTTATTTGTATGTTTTTTGTGTTTTTTTTTTTGGTTATAATTTAACTTAATTAAAAGGGTTTTTATCACAAATGATCCCTGAAATTGACTCAGCCCATCAAGATGATCCCTGAAATTGAAAATCGATCAATGTAGTCCCTAAAATTGGATGTCATAAATCAATGTGGTCATTCCGTCACCATTCCGTCAAAACTTTGTTAAGTGTTGATGTGGCACTTAAATGGGTCCCACAAATTTAATAAAATATTATTTTGTGAATTAAAATTATTTAAATAATAAAAAATAATTTTTTATAATAAAAAACTTCAAAAAAAAAAAAAAAAAAAAGATGCTTCCTCTGCAACAACCATGGCATCTCTTCCTCCCCCGCTTCTTTCAAGCCCAACAAGTCACTCACTTTCAAGTTCAGCACTTCATGATGGGGTTGTGTTTGGTTGCAATTACATTTGCGACGGTGACGAGTCATGGTTAATGATTCAGTCGGGTTGATTTGAAACGGGTTATGGGCTGCACGGCCCAGGGTGTGGCTGTAGGCCGAGATGGACGAGGATGGCAAGATAAAATTCCAGCTAACAACGAATGTAATCTCAGCCAAACACAACCCCATCGGGAAGTGCTGAACTTGAAAGTGAGTGACTTGTTGGGCTTGAAAGAAGCGGGGGTTGGGCTTGAAAGAAGCGGGGGAGGAGGAGGAGACACCATGGTTGTTACAGAAGAAGCATCTTCTTGTTTTTTTTTCAAGTTTTTTATTATAAAAAAAATATTTTTTATTATTTAAATATTTTTAATTCACAAAATAATATTTTATTAAATTTGTGGAACCCATTTAAGTGCTACGTCAGCACTTAACAAAGTTTTTGACGGAATTACCACATTGATTTATGACACCCAATTTCAGGGACTACATTGATTGATTTTCAATTTCAGGGACCATCTTGATGATCTGAGTCAATTTCAAGGACCATTTGTGATAAAAACCCTAATTAAAATTTGAAAAACCACATAGGACCCACCTAAGTCCCTTGACGCTAGGCTCTTACCTACCGCCCAACTAGCTCCTAGCGCTTTTTAAAACCTTAATCAGGCATAACAATAGCTCCAACAAAAGAAAACAACAATTATACAGGTCTAAAGTAGTGATCACTCTTGCAAAGCAACTAGGAAGCAACTATTGCTTGATAAGCTATATTTGTTCTACCACCACTGTAGCTTCAAAACTTTAAAACCACAAACGGGAAAGTCCATAACTAGGGCTGCGTACGGTTCATTCCGGTCTGTGTTTTGGTCGGAACCTCGCATCAAACTAGCCATGTATCATGCACTTTCACTGCAGAATATATGATCAGCTTCATTCCAAAATCAGTCAATTTTTATTAGGGTTTCCATTGACAGTTCATTCTTATCCCCTTGAGTCACTGTAGAAAGATAAGAAGAAAATAATTCATAAGAACCAAAATTGCATTTCAAATTCTAAATAACACACAAAATTGCATTTGTGGCCAAATATGTTGAATTATAAGTCTATAGCTGATTAGAAATAAGTTGTGATGTTAATATGTGTATGCACTTATGTTAAATACTAAGTGAGAAGATATATAGATGTAAAGGCCATGAGTGCTATGTGTGATGATCTTAGCTATTAGCTAAATTAGTGGCTGAGATCTGTTTTGATTGTAATGATCCAGCTCAGTTTTGTAATATATATCTCTTTCTGGACGTTGTGTGCTAGTGCGAAAGGCAATTAATGAAAACAAATTATTCCTTTGTGTCTCAGTAGAAGAAAGAAAACAACCACGTTCTTCTCTCCCTGTTTTTCCTTTTCTGAAATTTCATCTTCTCTTCTTCCTTCGAATTAACTCTATCAAACAATAACATGGCCTCAGAGCCAGTTATGATCAACTGAGTCTGGGCGTGAAGCTGTGAAGTCACTGAGCTAAGTCAAAGCTCGGTGAAGGTCACCGGAGTTCCATTTAAGGAGAGAAATCAACGGTCGGACCAAGATGTCTGGATCTGGAAGCTCAGAGGTAAGAACTCCAATTTGCTCTGGTGAGAACTACGAGTTCTTGAGGATTAAGATGGTAACGATCTTCAAATCACTTGGGTTATGGAATCTGGTGGAGAAAGGGATTACAACCCCTGACTCGAAGAAGAAGAAGGAAGCTGAATGGTCATCGAACGATGCAGTCAATGAAAAAATGACTAATGTGTTCATGAAGGATGCGAAGGCTCTAGGAATCATTCAAAATGCAGTATCTGATCATATCTTCCCTCGGATTGCTAATGCTGATTCAGCTAAGAAGGCATGAGATCTCTTGTATGGCGAATATCATGGTGGTGATTAGGTTAGATCTGTAAAACTTCAGAATCTTAGATGAGAATTTGAGTATGCTAGAATGCGAGATGATGAGTCCCTATCTAGTTATCTTACAAGACTGAATGAACTAATTAATTAGATGAGAACATTTGGTGAATCTCTTTCTAATGAGAGACTTGTGCAGAAGGTTCTAATTAGTCTGAGTAAACCATATGATTCTATTTGTTTGGTTCTAGAAAACACAAAGTGACTAGAGACTGTAGAATTGCAGGAAGTAGTTGCAATCTTGAAGAGTCAAGAACAACAGTTTGATTTACATAATGTTGATACCACTGAGAAGGCATTTACATCATTCTCAGTGAGTCCAAAAGGACAAAATAGGAGTGAGACTCAATCTGGTCCATCGAAATTCAAGAAGAATTGGAGTTCTAAGGAGAAGAAATGGGATTCAAAGCCTCGGTTTCAACAGAAACCTTTCAATAGTCCTGCATCAAATTTATACCAGTCACAGTCAATGGGTCAAGAGGGTACCAAACCACAGTGTAGAGTATGTTCTAAGTTCCATTTTGGTGAGTGTAGATATAAGGGGAAGCCCAAATGCTATAATTGTGATAAGTTTGGTCACTGGGCTAGAGAATCCACTGCAGGAAAGATTGTGCAAAAGGCAAATCTGTAAATCAGGTGGAAGTGACAGGGAATTTGTTCTATGCTGATAGTGCAATTTCAGAGACAAATGTCAATGGTAACTGATACATAGACAGTGGGTGTAACAATCATATGACAGGGAATGCTGATCTTCTTGTTGATATAAGGACAAATGTTGCTGGAAAGGTACAAATGCCCACTGGTGCATTAGTAATTGTTGCTGGAATGGGTTCTTTGGAAATTGACACTAACAAAGGGAAGAAGTACATTAGGAAGGTCATGTACTTGCCAGGATTGAAAGAAAATTTGCTCAGTGTGGGACAAACGGATGAGCATGGATACTATCTTTTGTTTGGAGAAGGCATATGTAGTATATTTGATGGACCCTTCCTTGATAATCTTGTTATCAAAGTTAAGAAGAAGGAAAATATATGTTATCCTCTTTCTCTGTGGAAAAACAATCAACTTGTTTTTAGAAAGCTAGCATTGATTCAAGTTCTACCTGGATTTGGCACAAGAGATTAGGACATCTAAATCTCAGGAGCCTTAAACAACTCAGAGAGAATGAAATGGTGCATGGTCTTCCACATCTTGATTAATGGTGTATGTGACGGATGCCAGTTTGGGAAACAACATCGTGATTGGTTTCCAAAAGAGAAAGCTTAGAGAGCAAGTAGTCATCTGGAGCTTATACACACTGATTTATGTGGTCCTATGCAAAATGAATCAATTGCTGGGAATAAGTACTTCATGCTTCTAGTTGATGATTGTACAAGAATGTCATGGGTTTATTTCCTAAGACAGAAATATGAGGCTCTAACTTGTTTCAAGAAGTTTAGAGCAATGGTAGAATTACAAAGTGGTTTCAAAGTAAAGTGCTTAAGAAGTGACAAAGGAGGTGAGTTTGTATCAAATGAATTTAACCAATTTTAGAAACTGAAGGAATACAAAGACAATTGTCTATGACTTATACTTCACAGCAAAATGGAGTAGTGGAGAGGAAGAATAGGACAGTTGTAGAAATGGCCAAGGCAATGCTTCATGATAAAAGCATGCCATACTTTATGTGGGCAGAGGCAGTACACACAGCAGTGTATATTCTAAACAAATCACCTACAAAAGCACTTGATAATCTAACACCATTTAAGGATTACAGTGGCAGAAAACCAGGAATTGGTCATCTAAAAGTGTTTGGATCAATCTGTTATGTGCATTTACCATCTGAGATAAGACAGAAGCTAGATGCTAAAAGTGTCAAATGTGTGTTTGTTGGATATGCTACATGTGAGAAGGGATACAGAGTGTTTGATCCATGCACTAAGAAGTTAATCTTGTGAAGAGATGTGTTGTTTGATGAAACTATGACCTGGAATTGGAAGGTAAATTCAGATAATTCTGTTGTTGTGACCTACATTCAGAATTCACATGAGTTGGTTGAGATTGAAGGTAGTGCCTCCAGTTCCTCTATTCCACCTCATATTGAAGAACAAGAAAGCAGCATTATGAATCTGTAAAAATCTCTCAGTCTTATGATCATACTCCAGTGAAATAGAGAAGCATAAATGATATTATAGCACAGTGCAACCTTTGTATTGTGGAACCTGAGAAATATGAAGAAGTTGCACAAGACAAAGCTTGGGTAAAAGCAATGGAAGAAGAATTGTCAATGATTGAGAAGAATAGAACTTGGGAGCTTGTAGATAAACCAAGTGATAAACATGTCATTAGAGTGAAATGGGTGTTCAAAACCAAGTTGAATCTGGATGGCTCAGTACAAAAGAACAATGCAAGACTGGTTGCCAAGGGGTATGTGCAGAAACCAGGAATCGATTACAATGAAACTTTTGCTCCAGTTGCTAGATTCGACACAATCAAAACTTTGATTGCTCTTGCTGCACAAAGAAGCTGGACGTTATATCAACTAGATGTTAAATCTGCATTTGTGAATGGAAAATTGCAGGAAGAAGTATATGTTGAACAACCAGAGGGATTTGTAATTGATGGCAAGGAGGACAAAGTCTACATATTGCATAAGGCTCTTTATGGGTTAAAACAGGCACCTAGAGCTTGGTATGGGAAAATTGACAACTACTTCACTAAGTGTGGATTTACAAAAAGTTTGAGTGAAACAACTCTTTATACTAAGACAAGGGGAGATGAATATATCTTAATTGTTTCTATCTATGTTGATGACATAGTATATACTGGAAGCAATCAGGAAATGTTGAATGAATTCAAAGAAGACATGAAGGTGAAATATGAAATGACAGACCTCGGGCTCTTCCACCATTTTCTAGGAATGGGAATGATACAAGCTGATACAAGCATTTTCATTCATCAAAGGAAGTATGCTTCTTCTTTGTTGGATAAATTTGGCTTGAAGGAGTGCAAATTTGTTTCCATACCTCTTGTTACTACTGAAAAGTTAAGCAAAGATGATGGAAGTGGTGCAGCAAATGAAGAGCAATATAGGAAGATTGTGGAGAGGTTGTTGTATCTTACTGCTACAAGGCCGGATGTGATGTATGCAGCTAGTTTACTAGCTAGATATATGCATTATCCTACAAAAAAAAACACTATGGAACAGCCAAGAGAGTGCTCAGATATGTCAAAGGGACACTGGATTATGGTTTGAAGTATGAGAAAGGCAAAAAGGCAGTTTTGGTTGGATTTTGTGATAGTGATTAGGGAGGATCAATTGAAGACAGCAAAAGCACCTCAGGCTATGCTTTTTCTTTTGGAAGTGGAGTGTTCTCATGGGCTTCTGTGAAGCAAAGCTGTGTTGCTCTTTCCACTGCAGAAGCAGAGTACATAAGTGCCTCTTAAGCCACAGCTCAGGCTATTTGGCTCAAATTTGTCTTGGAGGATTTTGGAGAGCTACAAACAGAAACAACTCCTTTGCAGTGTGACAATACATCTGCAATTTCAATCACTAAGAATCAAGTGTTTCATCAGTGGACAAAACACATCGATAAGAAGTACCATTTCATCAAAGATGCTCTGCAGCAAGGAATAGTCGATTTGGTCTATTGTCCTACCAAAGAGCAAGTGGCAGACATCTTTACCAAAGCTTTACCAAAAGAGAGGTTTAACTATCTCAGAGACAAGCTAGGAGTCATATCAGCTTTAGACTTAGGAGTGTTGAATTATAAGTCTATAGCTGATTAGAAATAAGTTGTGATGTTAATATGTGTATGCACTTATGTTAAATACTAAGTGAGAAGATATAAAGATGTAAAGGCCATGAGTGTCATGTGTGATGATCTTAGCTATTAGCTAAATGAGTGGCTGAGATCTGTTTTGATTGTATTGATCCAGCTCAGTTTTGTAAAGCTATATATCTCTCTTTGCACGTTGTGTGCGAGTGAGAGAGGCAATTAATGAAAACAAATTATTCCTCTGTGTCTTAGTAGAAGAAAGAAAACAACCACGTTCTTCTCTCCCAGTTTTTCCTTTTCTGAAATTTCATCTTCTCTTCTTCCTTCGAATTAACTCTATCAAACACTAACAAAATAGTAATGCCATGTTTAGACATTTAACCTGAGATTAAGAAAATCTATTACCTTGATCAAATATATATGAAATTTTAGGGTTGGCACATCTTTTTCTGTGATTCGATGACAAAATATTAACCCAGTGCTTTGCGTCGAATGCTAGGTTTGAATTCATTGTTCCTGACTGCATATCGTCGTCGTCCTCATCATCATCCACTTTGCAATCTTTCACTTCCATATTTTCAATCCATATAACCTGCATTGCATGAACACAGATAAATTGTCATAACCCCTACATTTTACATTCTCTTATATATCACCTTACATATGCCATATGTGGAAAAATAATTAGATTGAGATCTTGTTGCAGTTGATTTAGTGCTAACCTCGGATAAATTTTCATACGACCTGAGGCGCTTGACAATGACCCCAGATGGCCTCCGAAGACAGTTCACTTTCGATGCAGCAGAATCAAGTGAATGTTGCTGAAAATAATCAGTTGATAGATCAACTACAGCCCATGTATCTTCCATGACGCTCCGTACAAATCTGACAAAACGGTATTTTTGTTTTTGCACAAATGGTGTAGGCAAGTGAAATTCAGCATTGACCTGCATAATTTAAATTCTTGCATTAGATTAGCACATTCAACCTATGTGGAAGGAATAGGCATGTTTTTTGCCGAGGGAATGGGATAATTACAATTGTCATATCGATACAGTTGCCAGATTCTTGTCCTCTGTGCATTGCCGATAGACGTCCAAAAACACCAGTTGAGTCTTGTACAGATCCTTGATGAACAATTTGGGAAAAGGTTGAAGCCCATTTGTCCTGAAAAAAAAGAGGGGCAAACAACATAAGCAACATACATATATACACACACACACACACATATGGATTAATGGAGGTGATGAAAAAGGGACCAAAATTTTTGTACTTCATAAGCAACATATATGTTGTGCTAGGATAGCACCAAACCACGCGGAACCAAATTAAGCTAACCCACAGAAAATATATCAAATGAAATGCAAGAACAATATAGAGAAAATAACACCAAGATTTTAACGAGGTTCCTCTACAGTCAGTGTAACTGGAGTACGTCCTCGGAGCAGTAGGAGCTCACCCAATAATCCACTATCAACCAAATGGGAGTTTACAAAGTGTTGACAATCTCACAACCCATAAGCCCAATACACCCAATAACTCTCACACACCAAAGAAACAAATAGAGAAAGAAATATAATGAATAATTTCTTCTCTACACATATAGCTCAAAGCTATTACAACAACAACTACTTTGGTGGATGATTACTAACCAAAGAGAGGAGCACTTTCTTCTTCTCTTCAAAGAGGAGCTGCAACTCTCTTTTTCTGCTGCTCACTTCTCTCTGTATTCAGCTCAAAACATAAAATGAGCTCCACACTTTCTACTCACCCTCCGTAGTTTTCTATCTCTTTCTCTTCTCTATTATTAGGCTGCAAAGGCAACCACCAAAACATAAAGGACCAAAACCCACGGGTGTAGAAGAGAAAGTTGCCTTTTCCCTTTTTTCCTCCCCAAAACAAGGAAGGATGTTGTCCACCTTTTTCCTTTCCTTTATAATTTTATAATAGCCGAAAGTGAATTACTTATTTGGCCACTTGGCCACATACTCCAACAAATATATATATGTATATATATATATATATATACACACACACATATGGATTAATAGATGGATTATTAGTTCCCGTTTGGGACTACTTCATAAGTGCTTTTGTGCCTAACATCAGAAAGTGCTTCTATGACCTAGAAGCACATTTAAGTTTTCTTGCCAAACTTAGAAGAAAGCGTTTTAAGCCCTTTTAGAAGCAATCTCAAATAGGACCTTAATGACATGACAGGTTTAAGAAAATCTCACCACGTCAATCATAGTAGTTATCAAAAACCTTGGAGAAAGAGGAAGAATGATGCGCTCAACGGAGGATTCTACTTTCATTCTGGGTGAAGGCGGAGTCTTGAACATTTGTTGTATATCCTCGATTGAACCGAGTGGTGGAAGGCCCATCTTCCAAGCTTTTGCGTTGATAGCCAATGTCATAACCTCTCTGTAAGCTGCAAGGCAGATGTTATTTGCCTCTTGTAGTTGTAGGAACCCATTATCCGATTTCTCATCGATCTCTTCATCGGAAGAAGACTCATCCGGATCCGAGGAGATAACTAAATAAGGTTGTCCTTGAGCATCACAGTTATATTTCTGTGAAATAGCAGGCCATCATACAACAAAACATATCAACACTCGAGAGTCCAGAGTTACTAAATCTTTCAACTTCTTGATAAATACAGAAGCACATATAATAATTAAAATTGAGAGTTGTCATACCATATTTTGCATCTTGGATTGAAGGGAAGACGTCAAGCCACAGAAAAAAAACCAACAGGTTCTGCAACTAGAGGGCAAAAAAATCAAGTAAAGGTCAATATCTTCACCAACAAGTTACCATTAACAAACAACAACATTCGGGTTCTAGTACCAAAAACAAACATCAATCATTGGAAGAAAAGATAAAAATTCAAAGAATTCATGGGGCACAAACACAAAAGGGTATAAAAACCCTAGTCTAAATGATCAAATCATATGCAAACATATAACTTAATCAGAAACTTGTTCTGACCAAAGCCAGGCGAGAGAGAACAAGGTATTGAGATAAGATTAAGACTAGGGTTCAATTCCCGCCAATTTAACTAGAACAAAAAAAAAAAAAAAAAACTGCTTCTGGTAAAGAACAATCAAATCTTTATTGACAAATAGTAACACAATATGCTCGGAAACCAGTACCTCTAGCGACTTGTTGAACTTGATGTAAAATTTGAGAGAGAAAGTAGAGAGAGTGGTAAGTTTGTGCTTCTTGGTTTCTTGTACTGGGTTAGTTTTCAACCTCGAGCTTTTGGGTTCTACTTGAACACCTCTTCTTTCTTCAAGTCGTGCTTATATATAGGTTTTGGGAGAAGGGATCACACGTGAGAACCATGTGATCTGATGTGTTTGTTTTTTTCTTTAGGGTCAACTTTATTTCTTTGTTCAAACAAACAAAAAAAAAAAACCTTTATTTCGGAAAAAGTCCAAGATGGAAAATTTTATTTTTCGGTCGACGAAGAGCAAAATGGTAAGTTGGGATTTGGATTTTAAAAGATAAAATATGACTTACCATGGCGGACATAACAAGAGAAGGGAAAATATATAAGTTTGAAGGAAGGTTGAGATGAAGGTCAATGCTTGGAAGTTTATAACTCAATCAAATAGTTTAGATTAGGTTTAAAAATCTCAACTTTCTTGAGTCATAAATTGCGTCATACTTGATAATTAGTTATCGAATTCGTCATCCGTAAATCATGTAAATCGAACTTGAGACATACAAATAAAAAAATATCATTGTATTATAGTGCTAGTACCACCGTTTCTTGTTAACTACTAACACAATTATGGAACCAAAACGAATTATTTGGCAAGTGACTCACAACTAAAAGAGAAAGACACAAATACCCACTAAAACGTTGGATGTAGTTTTAGCATATAAGAGGGACGAAAGGAGATAATCTGCATGAGCAAGGAATTATTAAGAGCTAAGGTTACCGATGTTAACCAAACGAAGTTCATGACAAGACGTCTTTTATACTTAAGAGAGGTCCGAACATGGTAAGACCGGTAAAAAACAAGAAAAGCATGCCTAAATAAGTTTACTCTTACTCTATGCGTACTAACGAGATATCGAACTTCGGTCAAAAACAAGGTACTCAACACTTTGAACTCTACTCTTTCCGAATAGCTAATCTCCCCTAAGTTTAAAATATCGAGGATATCGGAAATATCGGTAGTCTAAAAACACGGAAATTTTAATAGAAATATCGGAATATTTTCGATATCGATAAAAATTGAATAAAAACTATGGAAATTGTAAGAAAAACTTGAAAGTTTTTATTGAAACTGTGCAGGATGTTTATTTAGTCAATTATCTATTAGTTTATCACAAAAAATTGGAAGAAAATGCATTGCATGATGGATTTAACTGATTTAAGTTGATTATATAGCGAGCTAGCAAACATTGTGAATGTAGAAAATATGTAGTAATTAATGAAAAAAGTTTAAACACACTATAATAATTTATATAATGAATTAGTACAATATTTTACACTTTATACATTGCATAGTAAGATACATGAATGACTTAATACCACATAGAGTTCCTATCAATGTCTAAAATATCGATGATATCGGAAATATCGGTAGTCCAAAAATACGAAAATTTTGATGAAAATATCGAGATAGTATCGATATTTTAGACCTCTCTCCTACTCTTTCATTCTTTAGAAATTTAAAAATAAATAAATAAATATTGTTCAAAGGAGCATGTATAACTTTTGTTCTCCAAAGAGTAACAAAAGCTAGCAAGGCTACAAAACACACAACCAGCCCGAAAAGTCCAAAAACCCAACGAAAAACACATCCAGCGACTCTTTATGGCAGAGCCAAGCTCCTTACTTGTTTTCAACTAAAACCCAAATCTCCAGAAATCGCCGAAAGCTCCCCTCCAAAAAACTCCAAACCCCTTCTTAAACCTTCCAAGGTGTGATCAAATTTCAAACCCTACATCCCAAAAATGGTTTTTCACACTTCCAATCTCTCTCCTTCCATTTTCTCTGCTCTGTTTTTCTTCACCCTCCTCGCCTCCTTTCCATTTTCCACCATTTCTACTGATCTCACAAACTTGATCTACAAAGGCTGTGCAAACCAAAACTTCCAAGACCCAAATGGAACTTACAAAAAAAACCTCAAATCTTTGTTCGATTCTCTGGTCTCCCAATCGTCGCAAAAGACTTACTTTTCCACCACCTTTGGCGACGGCCAAACCGCAATCGTGGGGACGTACCAATGCAGGGGAGACCTCAGCACATCCGATTGCAACCTCTGCGTGAAAAAGATTCCAGCTTTGGCCAATAAACTATGTGGGGAGGTAGTAGCAGCCAGAGTCCAGCTGGATGGGTGTTACCTGAGGTATGAGGTTGCTGGGTTTCAACAGGTTCCAGGGACACAGTTTTTGTTTAAAATTTGTAGGAAAAATCAGGCAAGTGGGGTGAGTGCTGGGTTTGCAGACAAGAGGGACAAGGCTTTTGGGATGGTGGAAAATGGGGTGAAAAATGGGAGTGCTGGGTTTTATACTGGAACTTATCAGTCTCTGTATATTTTGGGGCAGTGCGAGGGGGGATCTGGGAAGTGGGGATTGTGGGGATTGTGTGAAAATTGCTGATCAGAGAGCTAAAAGTGACTGCAACGGTTCATTTTCTGGGCAGATTTATCTTCAGAAGTGCTACATCAGCTACAACTTTTACCCCAATGGTGTGACAAGCATAACTTCTTCATCAGGTAACGTCTGAGACCAAAAAAGATCTTTTTCTTTTCTTTGAAGTATAAATTTTGAAAAGTGATTCCAGCACTACTCATTTTTTCTCATGTGTTTTTATTTTCTTCTAACCATTGAATTGAACAAATTAAAATGACGAAAACAAATAAATAAGTGCCGGAAGTAAAAACAGGGTGTGAAAAATTGAAAATCACTGTCCTTTAAATTTTTCTTTGTCATTCTCTAGAAGGGCTATACTTTAGGACCTTTGATTTATATGTTCGAGTATTTAATACCAAGTTGTCTTTGGCCGGACACACTTTGATTTTTATAGGTGGGGTTTTTCTTAATTTAATTTTTTTGGTGATGCAAGTCAAAATTTGATGTGGGATATCTTTGAATTATTTAATTTCTGTTGGGATGATAATACATCGGTATGACGATGGATGAGAGAGAGACAGAGAGAGACGGTTGTATGGTGTTTAGACTTGTTTATGAAGTTTCCTTCTATTGTGAGTAACGCCATCACTTTCCTTATCTTTTTCTTTTTTGACATTTAGGGTCTGTTTCGACGTAAGTTTGATAGAATGATTTTTAGTAAAAACGCTTATGAATAAAAGTGCTTTAAAACGAATGATGTGCTTAATTGGTGTATGAACTTGCAGGGTCTAGGCACCATACACAGAGGACAGTGGCAATTGCAGTGGGAGGGTTGGCAGCTTTTGGGTTTCTAGTTGTTTGTTTGATGTTTGTTAAGCAACTCATGAAGAAGAAACATGGTGGGAAGCATGGAGATTACCATTGAAGATTGAATTAGTGCTTTTCAATTAAGACAAGTATTTTAATATTAGAGTAGTGTTATCCACACACCCATTTTTACTTGTCACGTACCCTCTCAATTTCCGACTGTCGAAACAAATGAATTGAAGAAGATAAATGACAAACAATTAACAAAGGCGTGTAATTATTTACTGCAAATTACTGAGGGTAAGAGATGGGTGGCCTTTGAGTTTTAGGGTTCATCAACTTTTGCCGACTTGTGTTGGAAATTTTGTTTTATGTAAAAATGGGCAGACATATGTATGGATCCTCAAATCATTTTTGTTGCTTCCTTGAAGATATGCTTTTTAGCTTTTGATTTCACTCTCCCTTATTTTGTTTGAATATTCACTTGCTTCTGCTTCAATCATTGTGATAAAGAAGTTGGCCTGGATCCACTTGCTTCCTTGTCTATTTTGGCCATTTGCCTCTTATTGCCTAATGACAGTTGAAAGCGAACATTGATTGACCATTTACTTACAAATCACAACACATTTAAGAGTAAATTTATTAAAGGCTTTTTAGCCAAAATGAGCATTGAGATTTACATAATACATCATTTTGGTCATTGAGATTGAAAATCAATAGAAATGGTTCCTGAAATTTTTCACCATCCATTATTTTGGTCATTCCGTTAAAAACTCCATTAAGTGTCCGGGGAGCTCTTGGCCGAAAATTTGGGCAATTTTCAAAGCTTTGTAACTCAATCGTTTTTAACAAAATTCGACCCATAAGATACCAAAATGAAGATAGGAAAGTGTAAAACAAGATTATACCTATTTGGAAGCCCAATGGTTGCCGGAGATGGCCGGAAAATAGCCTGAAAGGTGACTGGTCCGCGGGAAAACTAGAAAACTCGCCGGAAACTGGGTAAACTTTAAACGTTCATAACTTCTTCAATACTCAACGATATCGAGTGATTCAAAAACGAAAATCATACTTCTCAACTATACGAAGAGAATGGTACCTTTCTTGATGGCTAATTCACCGTGGTTTGACTCGAAAACGGCTCGAAAGTGGCTAACTTGAGACCAAGACAACCACTTTCGAGCCAAACCACGGAGATTTAGCTGTCAAGAAAGGTACCATTCTTTTTTTCTCATCGAGAAGTATGATTTTAATTTTTGAATCACTAGATTTCGTTGAGTATTGAAGAAGTTATGAACGTTTAAAGTTTACCCAGTTTCTGACGAGTTTTCCAGTTTTCCCTCTGATCAGTCACCTTTCAAGCTATTTTCTAGCTATCTCCGGCAACCATTGGGCTTCCAAATAGGTATAATATTATTCTACAATTTCCTATCTTCATTTTGTTATATTATGGGTCGAATTTGGTTAAGAAACGATTGAGTTACAATGCTTTGAAAATTGCCCAAACTTTCTGTCAAAAGCTCCGGGACACTTAACGGAGTTTTTGACGGAATGACCAAAATAATGGATGGTGGACAATCTCAGGGACCATTTTGATTTTCAATCTCAGGGACCAAAGTGATGTGTTATGCAAATCTCATGGACCATTTTGACTAAAAAAACCTTTATTAAAACATTCAAAAAGAAAGTTTACGCTCACATATAAAACTCTGAGTAGCATGTAAAAGAGAAACGAGAAATACTAACTCAAAAGTAGGACTCTCCATTAACTTTTTGTCATCTCATGTTTTTTGCACAATGTTATAATGTTGACATGAAAAAGCATTAAACTGTGAAATGGCTGAGAGTTCAATTTTCCG